ATTTCTTTCATTGTACGTGAATTTACTATGTTCAGTTATTTTTATGAACCACTGAATATTATGTAGGTAATTTTATTAGGAAAGATTATCATATCTCGGAAATAATTTCTGTTTCTTTTTACAATCATTCAATTCTGATAGGGATTTACACGGTTCCTATAAGCTTACTTTATCTGAAATACTAATAAGTAAACTGAGAAATGACTAGGAAACCTCAATAGGAAAATTATATAAATTGTACACAAACAATGTAAGTATATACATGTTGTAGATTACCAACGTAGATGATCTATGTTGAATGGTTGAGGGCTTACTCGACTTAGACGGTAATGGTGTGACCGATAGCTAACATGGAAATCACATCTCGCAGTCAGCACCTAGCGTGGATTACCCCTTCATGATATCAAAATACTATTGATGCTTTGAAGACCGTATAACACAAAGGACGTTATTACGGAATGAGTTCAGAGATAGTGAGACCACAACCGTATTGGCTAGTCCATAGCTTACGATTAACTGATGCGCGTTGATTGTCTTTGACTTTGACGGGAATTGATGATCTGTTCGATTTTCAATGACCCAATTGCCGTATGATTTGTCTAGGACTCAGTAACGTTTCACTAGCCCTACAATATCTCCTTCTAAAATCGGACAAAGATATATCAGCTGAAACATTGATGAAGTACATAAACAATTTCTCCATAAATATATTTTGTTTTTAATCCCTTATCTATCCTTTTGACCTTGAGATAGTATATAGATACAGAGATATGTTATATCTAATCATGTTCAATTTACTAATTTGTGTATATATTCACATACAGACAAAAAATTGAAGTGAGAACATACATGAACATCGACTTCAAAGGTGACAGAGCCACATATATCTTAAAGAAGAGAATTTCTGATTCCTTAGAAAGAACATTCTTCGCAGCAACTTTGCGAATATTATTCTCCAGCCGATCAATGTTCACCAATAATCAGAAAGATAAATTATCGCATCTGATTAACTCAATGTGCAGTATATAGGTTGTTCGATGCGTACTTCATCCAAAAGAATTCAAGAACATTATCCGGCGTGGCTAAAAAGAAGAGGCAACGCCTCAATAAGAAGTTCTATAATCGAAGCCCTTGTGAACATAGGTCATTCAATCAAGACAGACTCTGCGTTCAAAGTCATCTACAAGGTAAGTAGGAGTCTTCCAAAGACAATCAGACTGCGCCTTCTCTGCATTGCCGAAGCAATAGCCATACATCTGGAAAAACCAGAATTATGTGTGCAAAAGAGACTGTTACAACCTCTTCTTCTATCATGGTCTTAATGTATTAAATTTTTTCCTCTCTCTTTCATACTCTTGTTCCTTTAGAGCCATCTGCTTCACATTCCATCTTCCCTTTAAATCCTCAACTCCCAAATGTTTTATTTCTGTTTCTACGATCATCCTGATTTTGAGATGGTGAAGATTTATAGCTCAGGTGGATGATTTTGGTGGAGTTTTGTTCTCTGAGCTGGATGGTTTGGTCGTGGAACTTTCATTGTTCTTCTGAACGACATCATCAGTACAAACTTCAGGTAGAAGTGAAGTGTTCGAATTTCTCCATATGTGTTTCACAGCTTGTTCTGTGCACCTCGATGTTGATTGGTTCTTGTTGACCTTAGATTTGTCATTGTTTACTTCTTTGTTTTGGTTGTGTCTCCCATTGGTTTGATTTTTGTCCCTATATTTGTGCATGATTTTCCTGATTGGTTGATAAATTGGATTGATTTCAATATGTTTGTTGATTGCTGATTGACCTGAGTGCCAGGCTTCTAAAAATTCTCTGGTGTTTTTGGAGTTTCCTCTGTCTAAGATTTCTACATTTTCCCAATCGATTGAGTGTCCGTAGTTGTCCACGTGTATTGATATAAGTGAAGAGATATCATGGCGTTTGACTGCTAATTGATGTTCATGTAGGCGAAGGTGAAGGGGGCGTCCGCTTTGTCCGATGTAGTGTTTTTCGCAGTTGGCACAAATCCCGTCAAAAATTAGACAACTAAATCTCAAAGACTTTAAACAAGCTATTCAAAGCAGGAGAAATAACAAAACAAGACCAATGGAGAATGAAATCCTGTGGACCAGTACTCCCCCGATTCTACGGCAGACCCAAAATACACAAACCATACATTCCACTACGTCCAATTGTAGCACTCCCCGGAGCACCAACGTACAATTTGTTAAAAGAAATTTCATGAATCCTGAGACATTTAGTAGATTCAGCCAACCACTCCATCAAATCTCCTACACAATTCCTGCACCAAATTAAGAATATTCAAATCAACAACGACGAACTAATGATATCCTTCGACGTAACAGCACTATTCACCTCAATTGAACCAAAGTTAGCAAAAGAAACTATATCCCTGCTGCTCAACAACGACACAAATCTCACTAAATACACGAAGCTTCAAATTCAAAGTCTACTGGAAATCATCGATTTATGCCTAGCAACATATTTTCAATTCAATAACAAAATCTACGAACAAACAAAAGGGACACCAATGGGATCACCAATATCAGGACTGATCGCAGAAGCAGTGATGCAAAGACTTGAAGCGGCGATACTACCAGTGATCAAGCCAAAAATTTGGATTCGCTATGTAGATGACACTTTCGTCATCGTCAAAAAGAATGAATTGGAAAACACTTACAAACTGATCAACAACGTTTTCAATGACATCACGTTCACAATGGAACAGGAGTCAAACAACCAACTAGCATTCTTGGATGTATTGATCACTAGAACCGACACAAGAAAACTGGAAACTCAAGTATATAGGAAACCGACCAATACAGATCAAATTCTCAACTACACCATCGACAACCCTAGAGCTCACAAAATCAACTGCGTACACACATTGTTCAAGAGGGCGAGGACACATTGCAGCACACTGGCAGCACGAAAAAATGAAGAAGAATACCTGAAGGACGTATTTCAAAAGAATGGCTACCCAATTAACTTCATCGAAAAACACCAACCGCACAAAGCATCAGAACCCAAGTCAAGCACAAAAATCAACAAAAGGATCACCCTACTATACATACAAGAAATATCAGAAACCGCGACCATACTGCTGAAAACCTTCGGAATAGGTGTGGCACACAAACCGACAAAATCACTACAATCAATCCTATGCAAACCAAAAGATGAAATAACAAAAGAAAACAAATCAAATATCATCTACAAAATAAAATGTGCCAACTGAGAAAAACACTACATCGGACAAAGCGGACGCCCCCTTCACCTTCGCCTACATGAACATCAATTAGCAGTCAAACGCCATGATATCTCTTCACTTATATCAATACACGTGGACAACTACGGACACTCAATCGATTGGGAAAATGTAGAAATCTTAGACAGAGGAAACTCCAAAAACACCAGAGAATTTTTAGAAGCCTGGCACTCAGGTCAATCAGCAATCAACAAACATATTGAAATCAATCCAATTTATCAACCAATCAGGAAAATCATGCACAAATATAGGGACAAAAATCAAACCAATGGGAGACACAACCAAAACAAAGAAGTAAACAATGACAAATCTAAGGTCAACAAGAACCAATCAACATCGAGGTGCACAGAACAAGCTGTGAAACACATATGGAGAAATTCGAACACTTCACTTCTACCTGAAGTTTGTACTGATGATGTCGTTCAGAAGAACAATGAAAGTTCCACGACCAAACCATCCAGCTCAGAGAACAAAACTCCACCAAAATCATCCTGATTACATTTCATCTCTGTTTCAACATTTTGTTTTATCATGCCGAGCTCTTCTTTGCCAATGATAATTTCCCTATCTATCTTTTGATGAATACTTAAGACAATAACAATCAAACGATTATTAAACTTTCCTTGTTTTAAATTTTTTTATATTTTTTAATACCTTTGTTTATTGAACCTCACTGTCACCATGTATAACAGAAGTTTATTATCAGTATTATTATCACCCTGTAAAAATAAGTATATGTATTTGCGATTGTACAGCTTTGAAAATGAATTCACCGAAAAGAGAACTTTTCGCTGAACTAATCTTTCTTATTTAATGTCTTAGTGGGTGTATTCAGTTTATTAGAACATACATTTAACAAAGAGCTTTTTTTCATGTCCATTAAAAGAAATATACATTCTGTTTTATAAAAATGTGTACAATTACTTATGAAATGCTACTTAAAAGTAGAAAATAATGCAATAAATCAACAGCTAAATGTATATATATATAGTTAAATGTTTCAGATTGTACAATCACGTAATTAGCAAGACTCTAATTTATGGACGAGCCAATCAGAGGCGTTTTAGGGATTTGAAGGTTACGGCTCCAACTTCAGTGCTTAATGCTAACGTACGATCGGTTCGCAAGGAATTTTGTACAAAACGTGATAAATGAGCGACTATGACAAATAAGGCGACAAGACTATAATTTGTGGACGAATCAATCAGGTGTAAGATAATAGATCTCGGATTTTAACGCTGAAGCCTTTATCCATTTGGCTGAATAAACCGTACAGACTCCTACATAGGCTTGGTTATGTGCACCGTATCGTTATCCACAAGTAGCATTTTGTGCACTCAACAACCGGAGTGCACATAAACAATATTGAAGCTATGTGGTCGAGGTTGAAAGAGTTTTTGAGACTTTATAGTAGCTCCAGAGGCCGAATATTCTTTAGCCATATGGATGATTTCTTCTACTACATGCATTACGATTTTAGAACCTCTGAAACTCTTTCCAACCTTGACAAGTTTTCGAACCACGTATAAGAAGTGTATCCACTTTATTTCCTTGGTTTTGTATAACATCTTTTTACTCTATACTGACTGTTTGTTGATCAGCTAATCTTTCTCAAGGTTACTTAAGATTCGTTCAAAGGTTGTCCATAACTTAGAGTCTCGCCGTTTCTGAACCCAAAATTAAATCATGTAGTGAAAGAATGAACTTTAAAATAAGAAGAAAAAACTTTTCAAAAATAACTGAATTCTGGATCATATATGGTCAATAATGAAAATTATAAAAATGCTTAGTCAAAAAAAGGTATAACATAATGATCTTTTTTCATAAGACATCGATAAAAAACTGAATAATATATAATAGATTTAAGTGTAAAATAAAAAATAAAACTCTCTCTTCTTAAACGCATCAAAGTGATATTGAACAATGAAAATAACTTAAAGAGGAAGAATGTATTTGTAAAATCTCAGCAAAGAATTTGAAGTAAATCCAACATTTCACTTGACAATCTGGTCCAAGCTTTCTCAAGAAAATATATTATTCCTCTTTAACGTCTCACATGAACTCGTCGCCCAAATATTGTGAAACTATTCGTTCAAATTTAGAGGAAAGTTCTTAATGAAAGTAAATGTTAAAATTATATGAAACTGAGTAGTTTAAACAACTTTCTACTTTACTGAATTGAAAGCTAAAGTAATAGACGTTGAATATCAATCGTTTTACAATGTTTGTTATATTTGTTTATTTGTTTTTTCTATAAATAGTTGAAACCTATTTTTAAATGATATTTGCAACAACAACAACAAAAGCTCCAAAATATCTGTTAAATATTTCCGCCTACTTAAATTAATCAAGTAGTATGTCACTTATATAAAATTTGTCAAACATCCGTTACATTGTGTAAGAAATTAAATTAATGATAATAATTTTTTTCGAAAAAAAATTGAATTTTAACTGATCCATTCCATAAATATTCGTGTATCATCTTCTTCTAGGTGTTTATTACCTATCAAATTAAAAAAGTTATTGAACAAAGAATGTTTATTTTCTTTTAGAGAAACAGATGTAATTCATAAGCAAAGATGGATATTGGCTAGCAGTGGGATCCAGGATGCGCGTTTCGTCTTATTTGGAACTCGTCAGCTGGATGTACCTGCATCTTAATCACAAATAGAATAAAACGCGCATTATACTGGATTCCCTTGCTAGCCACTATCCATCTATGTTTATAAAGCTTGTAACTCCAGGTAATATCGAGGCAGTCCACACAGGATGCACACATGCCAACAAGAGACTAATCAGTTGTAATCCTAAATACTAATCGGAAGATACAAGTAAACAACATCAAGTGAAATGTAATTCATGTTTGAGTTTGTGTTAAATCATTTCGCTAAATTAAAAATGAAAATTTACAAAAATGTTACACGTGTCTATCTGCAAAATAAAAAATAAATTCGATATCTTTCGTATACAGTGGATCAGAAAAATTCTATGAAATGCTTACTAGAACTTTACCCGTTTGATTTCAAATGGTGAAATTAATATATATATATATTCAGACAAAGATTCCAATAGAGTGTTGCTGAGCCGAATAAAGGATAATGTAAACGCCAAACTTCAAAGTTAACACGCTTTATTTCCTGAGAACCGATCATGCAGTGATCAAATTATGACACTACAGATCATTGTTGAGTCGTCATTTGAATAGAACCCATCACTATACGTCCTTGTTTATAAGAGACAATTCAACAGTGTGGGTAGGAGGACGTTCTTGTATCTTCTGCGTTACTACCAAGTAACTGGGATTATTAGCACCATACGGAACTCTTATAAAGGACTAAGTCATGAATAGTGATCAACTAGCAAAAGCATTTCAAGTGAGGACCAGTGTTAGTGACTAGACTGTTTTCTACCTCTCTTCATCTCCTATCTAGTGGTTAATTGTATTCTGAAAGCCTCCACAGCTTAGAAGGAAGCACGGAATACTGTGAGCATCTTGGACCCAACTAGATTATTCTGACTTCGCAAATGATCTAGACTTTCTATCCCATAAATAGCAACCAGTGCATGAACAATATTTAAAAACAACCGAAAAGAATAGTCCAGGAGAGAATTCGTTCAAAAATTATTGTTGACAGCCTATGCAACATGAGTGATAACAGGCATAAGTAAAAGTAAGTAAAAATTAGTAGTAGTAGTAGTAGTAGTAGTAGTAGTAGTAGTAGTAGTAGTAGTAGTAGTAGTAGTAGTAGTATAGTAGTAGTAGTGTAGTAGTAGTAGTAGTAGTAGTAGTGGTAGTAGTAGTAGTAGTAGAAGAAGAAGAAGAAGAAGAAGAAGAAGAAGAAGAAGAATAGAGAGGACTGTCAGTAAGAAAATTATAAAATATTATCAATACAGTCATTTTAATTTACATGAATTGTAAAGATTCAGTTGAAGATCCTTTTCATTTTAATCAGTTGAATTTTTGCAAAATTCAAAACCAGGTTAGAACCTCAAAACAATTTCTTATTATTTCCGATAATCTCTAACTATTATTAATAAATCTTAGATCAAAACCTTTTTGAAATTAATCAAATTTTCATACAACATTAGAATGAAACTTTTTCCAACAAATTATCTTTTTTTTTAATAACTTCCTTTGGAATCAGTTTCCCCAAGATCTAGTGTAATGCCTTAATCTATAAATTGAAGGAATTCGAAGATGAGAACATCTTATACATCTATGGAGTATGACGTTTTCCACATTCTATGATGAAATGGTAGAAAGTAAAAGCGTCAATCACTGAAATGGAAAATCGTTTTATGGAGAAGTGTATATAACTTACTTGAATACACTTCAATATTATTAAGGCGTATCATTACTAATTAAGTAATATATATTTTTACTAGTAATATTTCTAGTAGTTTTAATAATACGATTAACACCAGATAGTAGAATATAAATTTAATCATGTGTGTTGTCAATAATCAGAATATGGACTTATATGACCTTGTTCCTGTGCTAAACTAATGAAACATCAAAAAGCATTAGCAGCCCTACATCACCTCTGGATCCTTATTTGTCTTCAAAATAGTAACTTCTCGTCTAGCTCTACCCGTTGAGTCCAGAACACAATCTCAGCTCCCACTGGATGAATCATATATTTCAGATACATTTGATTTATATATAAGTAAACCAGACTACATTATATCATAAAATAGAAAAATAGCAATTATACAAGATTAGGTCAAAAGTATCTGTGAATGTGAGAAACTGTAACTAATAAACTGGGAATAACTTAAGAATAGTAAATTGCAGGTCGATTGAAGGCTTATGATAAAGGGAATATATATTTATATATAACCTAGTTGCTTAACAGTTAAACAATAAGAATATATGTATAATAACAGTCCGTAAATAGTTCTCGGAAGTTACCCATAATTTAATCTTCTCCGCACTCAACAATATGCTTTCTAAATGTAAATAAATCTGATTAAACAATGAATAACATATTACTAAGTTAACAATTATCAGTAATATATATATATATATTCCTATCTTTCTGTTATATACCGATAAGCAGAATGAATGGTAACTTTTGGGATCCATTTATGGACCAGTGCTATGAGTATATTTTTATCGTATAATTGTTATGTAACTAAACTGTTCATATTCATGTCGCTCTTATTATAAGCTTTAATTTGACCCATAGACTATTACTATACGACTTACCACTCTTGAGTTATGGCCTGTCTATTAATTACTATCTCCCTCATTCACAGCCACATCTGGCTAATTCTTGTACAAATGTTGTTTCCTATTTTATGGTACGATGTGGCCTGTTTGATTGGTATATCAATCCCGTATGTTTGAGATAAATGATTCATATTGCAGAGGCTGAGATCGGTGTTCGGGACTTAACTGGCTGGGCTAGACAGGAAGCGAAACCAATCAGGACTCTAGGCTGTTCGCACGTGTTTTATGCGTCACTGGTTCGATGGATAATTCGCTGCTCTCTGATTGGCGGTATCGTTGCGTTATCCAATATACAGGGCACACAGGTTCACAACCTATAACACTTTCATATTGTTAATCTTTATTATTATCATTCTATACTAACTAGCCATCAGTTTGGTGAGAGCTTTTGTTATAACCGAGTAAACATTGATTTGAATATTTTAAAAATGTTGTGTAACACCACGAATTAGGCAATTTCTTCGAATATGACAATGGTATAGTAAGTATTATTTGGTTTTACCCATCTACCTCTCTCCCTCTTTTATTTTCAATTACAACTTAGTACTGTTAATTAGTAGTAATTGTATTTTAATCACTTTGGATTCACTTCCAAACGTTGATTTGTCTGCTTAAGGACTTTTTATAATAGTCAGGGAGTATTACTAGCGCTAATATGAAAATTATGGATTGGAGATGTATATACAAACATATACTTGAATACTATGTTACATTTAATGAACTTAGAAATTCAATCACCATATTATTAAATTAATCACAACTGATGAATTCAGGTATCTATGATCATTATGAAGGCTATTGACGATAAATAATAAATTTCATTGAAATCATGAACTGGTCCAATTTAGATCACCATTGAAAACCTGGAAGCACTCTACGGCCGTTTCATCCTATTATGGGGCTCTTCAGCAGTGCGCATCCATAACCCCGCACGTAAGAATCAAACCCAATTACCGTATATTCACTAATGACCAGCTTCTAGAGAAACTGTCTAAATCTGTAGTGAGAAGTCGTGATTTATGGAGTTAATCCGTGTCGGACGTGATGTGGTTACTCACCGAAAACATTTGAAGATAGCTATCCAATATCGTGGTTTAATTGGAGTCAAAAATTAACGCAGTCAAATCCTGACCTAGTGGTTTAAACGTTACGTGTTCTCACGAGAGACCGTATGTCCTGAGTTTAATTTCTATATGCGGAGTCGCGGATGCACACTGCTGAGCGGTCCCATACTAGGAAGAAATGCCCTTCAGGTGCTTTCAGGCTTTCAGTGGTTGTCTAACTCGGATAGATCCATGATTTCAATGAAATCCAACGATCTCCGCAAACCCTTACTGTCAATAAATAAAGTTTATATAAGTGTTAGCTTCAAGTTGAAATATCACCATGACAAGTGTAGTTCAATGTACCATAACATTATTAATGGAATCCAGACTTATATTCTATTGGTAAATATGCATGTTACTGGTTGAAATTATGAGTCTATTGAAGCTAGACCACCATGGAAGACCTGGAAGCACTGGACGGCCGTTTACGTCCTAGTATGGGACTCCTCAGCAGTGCGCATCCATGATTTCGCACCCCGGGAGACTTGAACCCAGGACCCACCAGCCTCGCGCCAGGCACCTAACCAACTAGACCACTGAGCCGGCAGCCAACTGTGTTAATGTCTAACTTCAACCAATCCACGAAGTTGCGCCACAGTACACCATTGTCTTCAATGAGCTGATATCTCACAACAGACCTGGTTGGTTGAAGTTAGACATTAACACCGTTGGATGCCGGTTCAGTGGTCTAGTCGGTAAAGCGCTTGGCGCGAGACTGACAGGTCCTGGGCTCGGATCTTGCGGGGTGCGAGATCGTGGATGAGCGCTGCTGAGTAGTCTCATATTAGGACAAAGCGGCCGCCCAGTGCTTCCTGGTTTTCCATGATGGTCTAGCTTCAATTGACCCAATATTTCAACCAGTGAAATTTTTAAAAATCTCCACAAAACCACTTCTGATAAATATGAATGTGTTTTCAAAACTGGTTTCACAACATAAACAAAGATTAACTAAATAGCCATCGAAAAGATATTTCTCCCCAACATGGAACTCTATCACCATGCATTCGTGCCATGTATGAAGTATTAGGGTACTGATGTTATCAATCAGAATTGAACCCGATTCATACAGCCTCATAGTCTGAGACGTTACCATTGACCTATTTGGGTCGTGACTGAGTTTGAGATATTTACAATCCATTGACCGTCATATTTTATGACTCTATCATAATATACATTAATAGGTTGTGTTTTTTCAAAAACTCTTTCACCCTAGTTTGGAAATCGCCAACTGTACACATCCAAAACTCAACACAGGAGCCCAGGCAGTTATCACTGATGACATTTAGTAGTGGTTATATTTTACTCCATATTATTTGAAAATGTTAATGTTGATCATTTGATTCCGTTTCAGTACTCTAAATATCATGTACCCACCATGAGATTTGTAAATTTTCGGTTTAGCCCCTTAAGACATAGGATTTGACTCGATTGTGTCATGCCTTACATCAGCACGGCAAGAAAAGATTGGAAGACAGGGTGTTACATTAATTTTAACAGCAGTGAGACAGTTCAAAAGAAATAAATTAAAGTGAAGAATGGAAATTTGATAATGCCATAAAAACTAATCATCAAAAGGAATAATGAGAGCGAATGCAGCTGCTTTACTATGACCAATTTTAAGTCTCCAACTATGGATTAAGACTATTGAACATATTCTTAACAAGATTCCTGTCTCTAACGAGATCCATCCGATTAGTGATTGTTAACTTCGTAGATTCATTCTATATATTAATTTCTTGGCTCCTAGCTTTTTTAAAACCCAATTTTACATCGGGCTGTGCAACAAATCTAGGTAGACGGTGGTTACATATACATAATACAAGTACTCACCACCTCATCTGACGAGTTTTTATAGATTCGTGTACACTCATATATTGAAAGAAATGATTTAATGAATCGTAACAGCTTATCGATGCCTTTGACATTTGGTTACTGGAAAACAGTCTACTAAATGATATATATTGATGACATATCTACCGGTTAAACTACTAGTTAGCATATTTAATGGTTTGGTATATACTGAATGGTCGTCATAGAACTCTTTCAATTCTCCTGAGATATGTATTGTGACAATCATTAGAAAACATTTCAATATATATATATATATATATATATATATATATATATATATATATATATATATATATATATATATATATATATATATATATGGTTCTATTTATGGCTTGAATATGTTCTCTGTCATATATTGGTCATTCTTATGATAGGACGAGTCAGTGTAGACGATGATGTAACTTCCACGTAAGATCTTATAGATTAGGTAGTCACATCACGTCAATTCAATTTCAGGATTAGGTCTATTATTAGAACAGTACTAATAACGACGTGGACCTCAGTGATACAAAATCATTTCATTTTGAAAACGTTTACCTATTCTACTTTACATAAGTTGATGATATCTATATAAGACTCATTCTAGATTAATATTACAGACGAAACATGGTCAGTGCAATAATTCAGTATCAAATAATTTATTTGAATATGATAATTACAGATCCACATTTTAATATAATTGAGATAGATTGATTATTAGATAGTTTAATTGTAGAATTTTGATTGCCCCCAAATGCCGTGATACGGCCGACGGTGCGGAGAGTCCGCTCGCACTCTTGAGATGCTCCAACAAGGCCACACGTACATAGCCTCTGCCAGGGGAATCTTACTCACTTCCTTCTCGATGTTCTTGTGTTGTTTACGAACTTGAGAGAATGAGAAGCGAATGTCTGACACTTTAACCGGGTTGGTGGACATGGAGAGTCCACCTAGGGGAGTTGGAAAACCCTGATTCCAAACCAGTGGTGCACATGGGCTCCAGTATCCTGAAGGAACGAATGGCGTATGAACCAATCGTTAGTCACCGGCTACCATGAGACTGTAACTCCTTACGTTGCTCCATTGCCTTGTGGGTCAGACCTTTAGATCGAATGCTCTGTGTGTGGCCCCTAAGTAAACCACCTGCTTCGGCTTGGGCACCCGGGCAGTATCACAGCCCTCACACAAATCAAATGCGATTTGTTTGGCGTGTATGTATTTGGTGCCTCCTTGTACCAATATCTATGTGTTAAAATAAATAATAAATAAAATATCAAATGTTAAAACAAATCTTCATTGTTATCAATGCATGTGGATAATTATGAGCACAGATTTAACTGAAATGTTCACAAATCATAAACAGAGACAATATTAGAAAATACCAGCAAATATTTTTTTTAAAAAGAAACTTATCACCCTCCCCCCTCCAAAAAACCCCGTAAGTAATTAATAATACCCACTAATATTGACCAACCAACTATAAAAAATCATAATCAATTACAAAATCATAACTAAATATTAAGTCATGGGATGAATACAATTAAAACCAATATGAGATAGTAGAGAAGATTTGTAGCTCAGGTGGATGATTTTGGTGGAGATTTGTTCTCTGAGCTGGATGATTTGGTCGTGGAGCTTTCATCTTTCTTCTGAACGACGTCATCAGCACAAACTTCAGATAGAAGTGAAGTGTTCGAATTTCTCCATATGTGTTTCACAGCTTGTTCTGTGCACCTTGATGTTGATTGGTTCTTATTGACCTTAGATTTATCATTGTTTACTTCTTTGTTTTGGTTGTGTCTCCCATTGGTTTGTGCATGCACATGCACAAATATAGGAACAAAAATCAAATTCGAACACTTCACTTCTATCTGAAGTTTGTACTGATGATGTCGTACAGAAGAACGATGAAAGCTCCACGACCAAACCATCCAGCTCAAAGAACAAAACTCCACTAAAATCAATATTCATATAATGAAAAAAATAATTGTTACTAACACCTAATGAAATTTTTCATGATTAACAAAACAATTTGTTTTATCACATGTGAAGAAATTCCAATGATGTTTATTTCTATTTGAAATTCGCAGTACATGTGATGTTGTTCAAAATGGCAATCACTATATTTATTGATCAAACTGTTCAGTTTAAACAAATAAAAACTGCACAGAAAAATAACAACTAGTCGATATATTGATCAGTGAACTCATATAGAAAATTTGTAGCTCAGTTGGATAGTTTAAATGTTATTGAGTTCGATGACGTGAATGTAAGGAATTCATTGTCATTTAGGATAACATGAATTAGCACTTACTTTATAGACTATTCACATAAGTTAAGCATTGATCATGTTATCTAGAATGACAATCAAAATTTATTTTTTTTAACACATAAATACTGGCACAAGAAAACACCAGTTACATATGTGCCACACAAATCGCATTTGATTTGTGTGAGGGCTGTGATACTGCCCGGGTGCCCAAGCCGAAGCAGGTGGTTTACTTAGGGGCCACACACAGAGCATTCGATCTAAAGGTCTGACCCACAAGGCAATGGAGCAACGTAAGGAGTTACAGTCTCATGGTAGCCGGTGACTAACGATTGGTTCATACGCCATTCGTTCCTTCAGGATACTGGAGCCCATGTGCACCACTGGTTTGGAATCCGGTTAAAGCGCCGGACATTCGATTTTCATTCTCTCATTTTCGTAGACAACACATGAGCCACGAGAAGGAAGTGAGTAGGAATTCCTTGGCAGAGGCTATATACGCGTGACCATATGAGAGCATTTCGACAGAGTAAGCGAACTCTCCTTACTCTCGGCCATACCAGGGCATTTGGATGTCATTTACATAGACAAAGGTGAATAATATAACCATTTTGTACTGTATTATGTTTTTCGTGGTTAAACTGGATCATTTTATAGAATATATTTGATTTATTTTGTTGTTTCATCTTTCAGTTTGAATAAAATCGATCAGAGTACTTTTGCTGAAAAGTATACTACAGTATGTACTCATTTGTTTCTATCAGATTTGCAAACAAATAATCTTACGAATCATAGAATTAGTTCTGTTGTAGCTAGGAATTTGATCTGTACCTTGTTGTGTTTTGATATATCTGAGTCTCTATTTTCTCTAAATTTATTTTAGTGATCAATTCATTTAAAAAAATTGGTAGTGTATTGTATGAATTTATATTTAGTATGAATTTCACATGTATAGACTATTGAATTTTCATAATTTACTTAACAAATATATATACACATAGAATGGTATCTTAGTAACCTAGTGGTTAAGTCGTCTCCAAGTGATCAAATGTTATCAGAATACACTTCTCAGAAGTGCTCATACTAGGACCAAACAGCTGTCCAATGTTTTCAATCTAACTAAAATTAGTAATGTAAACTATGAATATGATTCACTTGGTGTTATTTTACTTGTATCATCTCGTTGATGTTTATAATTGTAATTGATCAATCTCTTGTTCACATGTGCATCTTGTGCAAATAGTCTCGATATAGCCTTAAGTCACAAACTTTTTAAGCAAAGATGGATAGTGGCTAGCAGTGGAATCCAGTTTGACGCGCGTTTCGTCCTAGTTGGAACTCGTCAGTGGAATATACCTGCAACTCGTCGTTAGATTATTGTCTAGGGACTGATAACACATGAATATGATAGAAACACTTCGTTTTATGATAAGTAAAAGATTGACAATTTTAACGTCAAAACATTATGCTACAAAGATATCTAAATACTAATCCAAGTTATACTAATGTAATTTTTCTTTATTTCTATATATATAAGAAATATTAAGTTACTATCATGTATATACATGTTGTATACGTCAAGTTTACTCTGATATTAATACAAATATTTTATATTATAGAATCATATGATGATAAACAATGAACATTGTATATTGAATGCCAAATTATTTATCAATCTGAATCTAAACTAATCTATTTATCAGTAGATAATAATCAACATTTTTTGATGAATAAAATGTCATATATATTGCTTGTTTATTTGTTTTTAAGAAAATAATAATTACTATGCATTATATAATGCTGTTCAATTTCACTCATAAATACCCTAGTACGACCGAGGGTGGGGAGAGTCATCGCTCCCACTCAAAATGCTCTCACATCCCCATACATATAAACCACTGTCAGAGACCTCCTACTCATTTCCTTCTCGTGTCGAGGGTGTTATTACGAAATTGAGGGGACGAAAAGCGAATGTCCAGCACTTTAATCGGATTGGTGGATATGCAGAATCCACCTAGACGAGTTGGAAAACCCTGATTCCAAATCAGTGGTACGTATGAGCTCCCGGATCCTGAAGGAACAAATGTTGTATGAATGAATTATTAGTCACCGGCTACCATGGGACCGCATTTTCTTAAGTTGCTCCATTGCCTTGGAGATTAGACCTCTGAATTAAATACTTGAGGAGTCGCTGCCTAAGAGAACCCAGCTGTTTCAGTTTGGTCACCCAGGCAGTATCATGCACAAATTGAGTGACTTGTATGGCGCATGTGTATTCAGTATCCATTTGTACCAATATTTATGTGTTCAAATAAATGAACAATAAATTCTTTTATATCTATCGATTAAAACACTTTAAAACGTTTTCAAATTTGAAAATAAATATATTTTTGTTGTATTATAATGAATAGAAAAGTTGTATTTCTGATGTTTCGTGACTTAATGTGAACTACTTCTTCAGAATAAATTTGGCCAGATATTTACATCAGAAATATACTTGTGATTAACTTACTATCCAATGCTCAATTGATTTGAAAATCTATCAAATTCAATCATGGCAATGATACCAATTTTCAAATATGGTTAAATTAATTTATGCCATGAATCAATATTATTTGAGAAATTTAGTCTCTACCTCCCTCATTCACAGCCACATCTGACTAATTCTTGTACAAACGTTGTTTCATATTTTATTGGTATGTTGTGGTCTGTTTGATTGGTATATAAACTCAGAATGTTTGTAATATAACGATGCATATCTCAGAGGCTGAGACTTGCGTTCTGGACTAAATTGGCTAGGCTGGACAGAGAAGCGGGACCAATCAGAACTCTAGGCTGCTCATACGTATTTTACGCGTCCTTGATCCGATCGATAAGTCACTGTCCTCTAATCTTCGGTCACAGTTATAACATAAACTTTCATAATTACTAGCTGATGTCTTATATGCCAGACATTGAGATCTTTGAAGTGAATACATTTTATGTAAACTTTTATATCAGAATATTTAAAAAGAAAAATGTATTCAATTTCAAAGAAGATTTATGAATGTACATTTGAATGAAAAGACTATTCTCACTTACTGTTAAGATTTTCTATTAATTCAACATTTAATATGACTGATTTAGATGACCTGTTCTTATTTAAACTGTTTGAAGTCTGTTTTAGAAAGAAAAAAAAACAATATGAAACAATTAAAATGACAAATTCATATTTCAATGGTTGGGATCATGAGTCAAGTGAAGCGGTTGTTTTATCCACTTACAAAGTTAATTACTGTGTTGAGTGTTTGATAATAGAGCCATCTTAACAATTCTGTTTTTGCCCGTTTATACTTTAGCTAATCATGTGTTGTGGGTAAACATATTAGCTTGACTGAATAGGAAGCTTCGGAAAACAAAATTTAAAAACCGTATTAGGTTCAATATTTAATCCAACAGTTTTAAATTAGACAGAACAATGAAAGTTTAATTATTTATGATAGAATGAAACTAGATATATCTGAGTCATTCATGATGGTCTGAAGAGTAAATTGGTGACTTGAATTTTTGTGGCTTTCCCTGAAAAGTTTGATTATCATATATATATATATATATATATATATATATATATATATATATATATATATATATATATGCCGAGAGTAGGAAGAGTCAGCTCTCCCTCCCGAAATGCTCTCAAACGGTCACGTGTATACAGCCACTGCCAGGAAATCCTACTCACTGCCTTCTCACAACGATGTTGGTTGCGAAATTGAGAGGACTTAAAGCGAATGTCCGCAGCTCTAACCGGGTTGGTGGACATGAAGGGTCCACCTAGGGGAGTCAGAAAACCCTGATTTCAAATCAATGGTGCCCATAGGCTCCAAATGGTATATGAATCAATCTTTGGTCACCGGCTACCATAGGACTGCATCTCCTGACGTTACTCCACTGCCTTGTGAATCAAACCTGTAGGTCGAAGGTTGCGAGTGTGCGTTCCTAAGAAAACCACCTGCTTCGGTCTGGGCACCTGGGCAGTATCACAGCGCACATACACAAATCAAGTGACTTGTTTGGCGCATATGTACTTGGTGCCCCTTTGTACCAATATTTATTTATTCAAATAAATAAATAAAGAGGTCACAAAAAGTATTGGAAATCTATGCATGATTCGTGTATACTGTTTATATTCAAATTATATACAAATCATTTGATTACAAAACATTCACGTCAAGTAATTAATGAAATTATTCAATATGTTCAATAGATACTAACAAAGATGATCTATTTCAATAAATAATATAATCAAACAAAATATAATTATAATAGTTGAGATTATAAGTCAATTGAAGCTAGATCACCATGGAAAATCTGAAAGCATTGGATGATCAATTCGTCCTATATTCTGAGACTCCTCAGCAGTGGTCATCCACAATCTCACTTCATGAGATTAGAACCCAGGATCTATCAGTCTCGCGCGTTAACATTTAATCTCTAAAGCATTTAGTCTACCAGCATTCAACAATGTTAATCTATATTAATCAAAATTCATGAAATACTTACAGTTTTTCAAGTTCTTTATTTAATTCTTCTTCGGTATAATTTGGATTATTGATTATTGGATTTGATAAGATAGAATTAATTTGTTGTATAGTTTGTTTATATTCTTGATAATCATTCATATCATTATTATGATCATGATATAAATCTCTTTAAAACAAAATGATTATTTTTTTATTGATCATATTAACTTACTCATAATTAGGGAGATTTTTAATTAATTTTAATGATGTCATAAGTTGATCATTAATTTGTTGATGATTATCTAATACATCTAAATGATCATCTTTATCATTAGATAATTGATTATCATTATATTGATTTATAGATTTTTCATTTGATGATTGCCTATTATGTAATCTATTTATTAATGCTATAATATAATAATAATAATAATAATCATTCATTGTTACTATGCTATAAATGAACTTACATTTTCGTGTTGTTTTTCTATTATTTTTTTTTTTTTTTGTAATTCATTATTATTTATTGAATAATTAAATTGATATTTTGAATGAATGATTTGTTCATTGGGTTCCTTTTTTGATTGATTGATTTTACTTTTAAATTTGATAATTGATTTAATTATTGAATGCATATAAAAAATATTTTAAACAATGAAAAATAAATAAATGATTAAACAATATGAAACTTTGCTTAGTTACTAATATGTATATATCACTAACACCACCACCAACAACAACAATAAAAAATTTCATTTAAATTGGTAAATGTTATAACATAAAGCCTGGTTAGTGATCATGTGATTTATTTACCAAGCAAAATACGACTTATTCAATTTGAATACTGTGTTAAACCAATGATGTTCGATGTGTATGAGTAGTAGATGAGTAGTAGATGTGTACTACAATCAATCATGTGTTTGCTTAGTTATGAATGAACAAGATGTAAGATGGTTGAATGAAGTGAGCAGGTAGCTTGAAATATAAATTTTGTTCTATCTCACACTCACCAATCGGAATGATATGCAGTATAGAAAGTGCAGATAATTCATATATCACTGGAACAATTGTCCCCTAGTGTCATGGTCGAAAAACGTTGTAATTCAGCCATAAATTCCACAACTAACATCTTTTAAGACTGCAACCTATAAGTCGCTAAATAATTCATGTTGATTGACTTGTATTCTCCGTAACAATAGTTACCTAAGTAAGTATAAATATGTTTGTTGATATAATCTTAACTTTTTAATTTATTGTTATGGCTTAAATTGACGTTGTTCTTGTCATTACTGATTGGTTTCTTTACTACATATACAAATATCAGCAGCTTCAAACAGTGTATCAAAACACCATAGTCAATACATGATGTAATGCATACGAATGTTCAGAAGTATACTGTGCATTATCCAGTGAATAATGCGTCGAGGTTTGAAATGAACGATATTCGATTCCAATCTCAATGTGAACAATAACACTGAAATACAGAACAACTGACTTATCGAGTCTCAAATCTGACGGAGCAGGCATCCTGGATACTATTATTAGCCATTATCCATCTTTAGTAGGACCTTTTGACGAGAAAATGGTGGGAAGAGGCAAGAAAAACAATTATTGATATGTATGATGTGTTTTCTCGTTCCCAAATAATAAGGTAAAAGTTTGTGATGAATGTCTTTAGCATTATGTTATTGATGATGGAAATAATGAAGGGAACGGTCAAGTGGATGAAAGTTTTTTAAGGACAGCGTCTAATGTGCTCTTGTTAACGACAGCGTTAGAAAAGTACCGGAAAGGGATGATGATGATAATAGGTACTGATGATGTGGAATATTTTGAGGATAATAATCAAACGTATGTCGACGTAAAGTTATGCTCATAAATGATCAGTCTGATCCTACCTTTAATAGCAACCCAAGTGACTCATTCTGTTTGTAATGATTTGAACTATCTTTTTGTTGAAACTTCATCAGTCTTGTTTGGTATATGTGCATCCTGTATGGGTGGTCGCGATAAAACGATAAGTATAGATAAGTATAGAACAGATGATACGTGGTTAGCGGTAGAACCCAGGATTGGCGTTTGGTTCTCTTTAAGACTTGTAACGCTGACTAAATATCAACTCCAGGATCAGGTACAACTACCTGATAAGTCCTAAATAGGACGAACTACACATCGTAAATTCCAGTGCCAGCTACATTTCACTGTGATTGAGGTTGGCTCTGGTTCAGCTGGTATTTGCTTGACTATCAACTGGTGAACAATGTAGCCAATATCTTATACGTATTCGTTTTATTTGTATTTTGCCCAGTATTTTGTATCTCCGACTCCGCCTGTTACTCTTCTAAAGCTACGGCCGATCCCGAGCTCGGGCGAAGGAGGAGGGTTGGGCGTGGGGTTAGCGACCACATCCCGTGGAAAACCAACTCGCTAAAAAAACGCTCACCAGAAAAAATAATTTAAACCATTTAAACTCTACCCTGGGAGTTAGAAGGTCCTCATTTAGAAGATTTATGATGCCTCATTATGAAGGTCCAGTTCCTTCGGAAATCACAAGGTTGATGACCCTTCTAACAAACAGAGCAACAATTTTTATGGGTACATGGAAAGTCCGGACAATATGCGAGACCGAAAAGACTAGTCAAATAGCAATGGAAACGAGGAGATACAACTTGGCAGTACTTGGAATCAGCAAAACTCACTGGACTCAAGCTGGACAGCAAAGGCTAGATACGAGAGAGATGATGCTATACTCCGGTCACGAAGAGGATAGTGCTACACTCACTCAGGGAGTTGCTCTAATGTTGTCCAAAGAAGCACGAAATGCACTTGTAGGATGGTAATCTCATGGGTCCAGAATCATTAAAGCATCGTTCAAGACAAAGAAGGAGGGCATCACAATGAATATTATCCAATGTTATGCACCCAACAATGACAGCAAAGACGACAACAAAGATCAATTCCATGAGAGGCTACAATCAATCATAGTGAAGTGCCCAAGAAAGGACCTCACCATTCTGATGGGAGATCTAAACGCCAAAGTCGGAATAGACAATAACGGATATGAAGATATTACGAGACGAATAGGACTGAGAGAGAGAAATGAAAATGGGGGAGGATTTGCAAATTCATATGCATTCATCAAATTGATTATAGGCAGCACAATATTTCCACACAAACGTATACACAAAGCTACATGGATCTCAACGGAACACACCACAGAGAACCAAATAAATCATATTTACATCAATAAATTGATCCAAAGGACAATGGAGGATGTGAGAATCAAGAGAGGAGCTGACATAGCTTCAGATCATCACCTGGCAGTGGCCAAGATGAAACTGAAGCTAAAGAAACAATGGACAACTGGGAGAACGGCATTACAAAGGTTCAGTACAGCCTTTCTTTGAGATACTAACAAATTCGTCGAATTCAAGATAGCTCTCAACAACCGCTTCTATGCCTTACAGGATCTACTAAAGGAAGAAGAAACTACTCTGTAGGACAACTGGAAACGTATCAAAGAAGCACTAACCTTAACGTGTCATGAGGTTCCAGGACGCAAGAAGCATCATTATAAGGAATGCATCTTTCTAGAAACACTGAACAAGATCAAATAAAGGAGGAACAAGAAAACAGTAATTTACAACAGCCGAACACGAGCAGAGAAAATCAAATCACAAGCTGAATACAATGAAGCCAACAAACAAGGGAAGAAGCATATCAAAGCCGACAAACAGAAATACGTGGAAGAACTAGCAACGACGGCGAAGAAAGGTGCAAGAGATGAAAATATGAAGCAAATATATGATACAACGAAGAAACTAGCACTGGGAATACAGTAAACTAGAGAGTCCAGTCAAGGACAAAGAAGGAATTCCAATCACTGAAATTCAACAACAGCGGAACAGATGGGTAAAATACCTCGATGAACTCTTGAATAACCAGCTCCATTAAATCCCCCGGACATCGAAGCAGCACACACCAACGACGGAAGAAATCAGAATGGCCATCAGACAAATCATGAGTAGAAAAGCAGCAGGACCTGACAAAATACCAGCTGAAGCACTGAAGTCAGACAAAGAAGCAACTGTGAAGATAATCCATGTTCCATTCGGGAAGATTTGGCATCACACTACTGACAGTACCAGCGAAGGTCTGCCATTGAGTGTTGCTGAACCGGATGAACGACACAGTAGATGCCCAACTTTGAGATGAACAAGCTGGACTCCGTAAGGATCGGTCTTGTACAGACCAAATTGCGACACTACGGATCATCATCAAACAATCACCTGAGAGGTACTCGTCACTGTACATCAACTTCATTGATTATGAAAAGACACTTGACAGTATGGATTGGAGGACGTCATGGAAACTTCTTCGACACTACGGAGTTCCTGAGAAGACTGTCAATATTATCCGGAACTCATACGACGGACTCCAGTGCAAGGTCGTGCATGGTGGACAGCTGACAGATGCATTTCAACTGAGGACCGGCGTCAGAGAAGGCTGTCTACTCTCTCCCTTCCTCTTTCTTCTGGTGATCGACTGAATTATGAAGACCTCGATATCCGAGAGAAAACACGGAATACAATGGATAGCTCAGAACCAATTAGACGATTTGGACCTCGCAGATAGCCTAGCCCTCCTATCCGATACACACGAACAAATGCAGATGAACGCAACTCGTGGAGCAGCATCCTCTGCATCAGTAGGCCTCAACGTACACAAAGGGAAAATCAAGATCCTCAAACACAGCACAGAGAACACCAATCCAATCACACTTAATGGTGAAGATCTAGAATCTTTCATGTACCTGGGAAGCATCATCGATGAACAGGGAGCATTAGATGCAGACGTAAATGCTGGGATTGGCAAAGCAAGGGCCTCATTCCTACAATTGAAGAACATATGGAACTCAAAACAACTGTCTCTCAACCAATATCAAAGTCACAATCATCAACACAAATGCCAAGGCAGTTCTACTGTAAGGAGCTAAACTTGGAGAACTACTACAACAATCATCAAGAAGGTTCAAGTATTTACAAATATCTGTCTTCGCAAGACATTCAACACCAACTGAGCGGATACCATCAGCAACAGCTTTCTCTGGGAGAGAACAAACCAGCTTTCAGCTGAAGAGGCAATTAGGAAAAGAAGATGGAAAAAAGGATAGGACATACATTACGCAAATCATCAAACTGCAAAATGAGACAAGCCCTAACATGAAATCCTGAAGGGAAGTAAAAAAGAGGAAGGCCAAAGAACACATTACGTAGGGAAATAGAAGCAGATATGAAAAGGATGGATAACAACTGGAAAGAGCTGAGAAGGATTGTTCAGGACAGGGTTGGGTGGAGAATGCTGGTGAGCGACCTATGTTCCTTCACGAGGAGTAACAGGCGTAAGTAAGTACGTAAGTCTGCAAGTTGTTAAAATT